GTTGGTTTTTACAGGGTGGAGTTGCTAGCCCCGTGCCCAACCCTCCTCCTTTCTCATCCTGGACTTGGGACCAGGCAATGGTGGTGGCATCCCTGCCAGGGAACAAACCCGGTACCTTTGGATTAGAAATCCAACGTGCTTTCCACTGCACTATAAGGACACCAGTTTGTGGCTTATAGTCAATTAATAGTTTAAAGTATATCATGAATTTGTGCAAAGTAGTCAGTTTGTGTATATTGTATACTTATATCAAATAGTTGTATATGGCTTACAGTCTTGATATAAGGAAATAATTATTGATTTTTTTATCATGGGCAATTTTTATAAATTTCACTCAAATAAAACACAACTTAGAACTTTTACCCATCAATTGGTACATCTGAATTTGAGTCTTGTAAAATATTTTAAAAGCATTGTTTCTTGTATATTCTATGATGGTCAATAAAATCTGTTACAGTGCTCCTTTTTAAATGGAGTTTCTTAGTTAAGATTTTATAAGATTGATTAGGCTAGTATGTGTGTGGGTTTTTTCTAATTTGTCTAATTTGGGTGGCAGCTTTACTTCTATGCCTATCCCCCATCCATTTTCATACTCATCTTCTCTCTGTCCTCCAAATCACTCAGTGTCACATCCTTTTGGTGGCACCTCTTTGGCAAGCACAGCCATGGTTTTCGCTTCTGAGCCCGCTCCTATTGACACCTCCTCTGCCAATTCCCCTCTCACCCACCCTCCTCGGGCAACTTCAGTCAAATGTGTTGACTGAGGTTGACCCCATTGTTACATTCCACTACACCCAAGTCACTCTACATCAGGGGTCCCTCCTATGATTCCACCCTTATTGTAACACATAATTTTCCTGGGCAAGGAGTATACCTGGCTGAGTAGTGGTGCAGACTCCTATGGGTGTGTCTTGCATACTCTTTATCCATATACCCCATGGGCTTCTTTTGGGTGCTTTCTTAAGGGAGCTTAGTTACACTGGTCAGTGTGGGATTCTAGCTATTCTGTGAGTAGAGGTAAGATATTGTATTGGAAGTTATTATTTTCTTGCACTGAAAATGTATTTCCTATAGATTTTTGCCTTCACTCACACTTCCCACCCTTTCTCCCCACTTCCAGGGTCTTTTCCATTTCTGTTGCTCAATCTCAAAGTGAATTTAGACTAAGCTGCATAGAGGGAGTCAGCTGTGCTAGGAATTGTGTTGCACTTCTTTAGTTGGAGGGTTGTTGTATGCTCAGTTGCATGCTGTCATGCAGCTGCCTCATATGAAAACATGCTATTCTGTGAGCAGAAGTATGAATCTATCAGAAATACAGTGTAAGAAAATGTTAACCTTTAAGGCTCAACCATATCGGGCAGTTAGAACATTTTTTAAAAATAGAAGCCACATCAAAACATGCAGCAAGATGTCCCATTCTGATAACTATAGCATTAGTTAAACATTTGAGAGGGAAGAATAGTACAATTTAATGTCTCAAATCTTTCAAGTTGAACCAAGACCATTGGTACATAATTTCTTACATAAAAATTGCTATCACTCCAGAGGGAAATATGTGCTAGCATCATCACACTTTATATACAGATTAAAATGGTGGGATTTTGATTTGTTACTCAATAGAATTGTCAACTATTGTGTAAATAGTTAAATGTAACATAAAAATGATTTACGTGTGTTTTGTTACAGTCCCTTTGATATATCTTGAAATTATTTTCCTCTTTTCATAATTTAAGCACCTGTTACTGTTTAACTGTGGCCTGGTAAGTTAATGAATAAGTTGACCAGAAAATGAATAATGTAGTAGATCTTAGCTAGTTTAAATCTATTAAGGGAGCCAATTAGTAAAAAAAAGTTTAAACACATATGTATTATTGAGAGTTCGAATGAATTTTCATTATTTTTATGCTATTTATGAGAGATGTTATGAATGATATCCAACCAGAATAGAATAATCCATTCAAATTAAGTGTTTGCTCAAACAAGCTAGGCAACTTTCTTTTAACACATATAATCAGGTGAGATTTATAAAATACATTTCCCAGGCTACAACCATGTACACATAATATATGTGATATCCATAGATATCTTACAATTTTTATTTCCATGCTTGTATTTTAATGCTTTGATTGTTCAGAAGCTGTCTTATTTTTTAGGCTTTATTATGCAATAGCTGAATTGTAAATTAACTTTTTTATTTGTGAAGCAATATCCTAGTCAAATGGCAGAACAATTGGTGGAAGCTGCTGCAGCAGAAACCACCACTGATGATGAAGGAAGCTATGAAAGTGAGTAGAATTGAGTTATTGTCTCTTTTATTTCTGATATTACAGGGAGAGTAATTTTTATAGTGTAAAGTCATAGTATAAAAAAACAATCAATGCATAGTCAGAATCAGATTATGAAAAGTAGTTGTTGATAAGTGAAATCACATTATACAAAAAGCTATACAGGAAGCTATGAAAGTGAGTAGAATTGAGCTATTGTCTGTTTTATTTCTGATATTACAGGGAGAGTAATTTTTATAGTGTAAATTCATAGTATAAAAAAACAATCAATGCATAGTCAGAATCAGATTATGAAAAGTAGTTGTTGATAAGTGAAATCACATTATACAAAAAGTAGTTAGTTCATAATGAACAGTTGTAGTAATAGGAAATTGACCATGTTTTATGTAATGTATAATTATATAATACAGTACTGTGTATATTGTGTTCAGTTACATCATTTAAATAATTATTTTATAGTCTTTAGTCATAGTATTTGGAAAGTAGTTAGTTATAGAAAAAAAAGTCACTTTATAGTGTATTTATACTGTATAACAACATACTAGAAAAGTAGCCAGTTTATAATATACAACAACAGTGTAGAGAAATTAGTTGGATTGTTGTGTATATTCCCTCACCAGTAAACTAACAAATTTTTGGTGTATAGCCATAATATAGGAATCCCTATATATGTCATTCTATTTTTAGCATTTCTTGTGTAATTAAATTTATTCCAGCTTGTATTCATTACCTCTTCTTGCAAAATCATCTTGTATGTATTTCTGATTGTTTATATGTCAGCCATGACCCCTGATTCAGCTGGGGAAATAATTGTGTGGGAAAGATTAAACGTAGCTGGTGTGAACAGTCCCAAAGAGTCCACACAGGTGACACTTCGTTATACAGGTGAACAGGTTCATGGTGAGCTGCATAAGCACGATACTTGGTCAAGATCTGAGAAAAACAAGCCACCTCAGTGCATATCAAATAAAGAATCAAGTGTTTAGTTTCTTTATTATCAGGTAGTTACAGTTAATTTCACGTATGTAAATCAAAGAAAAACGTAGTAGTCAGGGGACAGTTGAAATAATTATAAAACTGAAGAGTAGTTAGAATGGTCCAACTGGGTAAAGTCATAGAAAATGGTGTAGAAGAGATTGTAAGCTAAACAAATTTACGAAATGGGAGAGTTGTAAAACTTGTAAGTTTATATGATATTATATAGATTGAACAACTAAACTATTAATAAAGTTTAAATAGTAGTTGTGTTACAATTGGTATAATCTCAGAAGGATGTGTAGATAAGATAGGTAATCTAATAAAATAAAAATATTTTGAAATGCTACAACTGTGTAAATCTCATAAAGACGGCATAGGTGGCATATTTAAATCAATATTAAAATAGGACAGTAGTTGAAGGATTACAACTGAGAAAATATCAGAAAGATAATGTAAGTGGGATAGTTAAGTCCATATTAAAATAGGACAGTACTTGAAGTATTCAGTCTGGGTAGATATCAGAAAGATAATGTAAGTGGAACAGTAGTTTAAGCATCACAACTGAGTAAATGTCAGAAAGATGATATAGATAAGATAATTAGACATATTAAAATGGAATAGTTCAAGCGTCACAACTGGGTAAGTATCAGAAAGATGATGTAGATGAGATAATTAAACATATTAAAATGGAATAGTTTAAGCATCACAACTGGGTAAGTATCAGAAAGATGATGTAGATGGGATAATTAAACATATTAAAATGGAATAGTTCAAGCGTCACAACTGGGTAAGTATCAGAAAGATGATGTAGATGGGATAATTAGACATATTAAAATGGAATAGTTCAAGCGTCACAACTGGGTAAGTATCAGAAAGATGATGTAGATGGGGTAATTAAACACAGTAATAAAAGAACACAATATCTTGTGTAGCAATTAGTGAAAAAAACACATTAAATGGAATGAACTGTCAGAAGTCTGATATCAGAAAAACTAGTTTTGACAAATTTATACATGCTCTTCCGTCTCACATTGTCTTCTGGTAGGGAAAAACCGGACAACAAATGCCTATGCTATCCCTGACCTGGGAATCCCCATAAGGACACAGAAGGTCAGGAAGTTGTTTAGCTTGAAGTGAACTTGGGAGGTGTTGAAATTAGGCAGGCTTTTGATTAAGCAACTTTTGACGATTATTCTTTTTATATAGTTATCCATTTTGTATAAAATTCTTGTTGGTTTCCAATCAATTTGATGGTCAGAATCTCTCATATGAATAAAAATGGCATTGTTTTGGTTTCCAGATTTTATGTTCAGAAACTCTGGTGTCAACACTTCTGGTTTCACCAACATATCCTTTCTCACAGAGTTGGCATGGTATAATATAAACGCCTTGTTTTTTATCTTCAGGTGTTTTTCTGTGTGAAGTTAGGTTATTTTTAATGGTGTTCAGATATCTGTATATGATTCTAAAGTTATTCTTCCTTAGTAATGCCCGGCATGGCCAGGTGGTTAGGGCACTCGATTCGTAATCTGCGGGTCGCGGGTTCGAATCCCCGTCCCACCAAACATGCTCGCCCTTTCAGTTGTGGGGGCATTATAATGTAACAGTCAATCCCACTATTCGTTGGTAAAAGAGTAGCCCAAAAGTTGGCGGTGGGTGGTGATGACTAGCTACCTTCCCTCTAGTCTTACACTGCTAAATTAGGGACGACTAGTGCAGATAGCCCTCGTGTGGCTTTGCGCGAAATTCAAAACAAACAAACTTCCTTAATATTTTCTCAAGGAGTTCAATGTTAGTGTTGTAGCCAATGTAAAGTGATTTCACATTATCATTGGTTGATTTTTCTTTATCTTCATGGAACAAGGTTTTTCTTACTTTGAGATGGCAATTTGTAATGAAATGTTGTGGAAAATGTAGTTCTTTGAAAATAAAAAAGATATTTTTAATTTCGTTATCAAGCATTGTCGGGTGGCATATTCTATATGCTCTAAGAAAAAATGAAGAAATAAAAGATGTATTGACCCATTTATTGTGACATGAAACGAAGTGAACATAACTTAAAGAATTTGTTGGTTTATGGTATGCTGAGAGGAATGGTTCTGTGTTTTTTCTGGTTATCAAAACATCCAAGAAAGGAAGTCTGTCATCCTTTATATTTATGGAAGGAACTAGTTTTTCAGCCCCTCATACTTTGCTCTCTCTGTACTAGTTCTTGAAGCATCACAGCTTGCACTTCCAAAATGCTCCCAAATGGCTTTATAAGATTGGCATGTTGCTTTTACAGTTCGGTAAGATAAAGCAACCCATCTCACACTGAATACATGACCAATTTTCAACAGTTGACAGTGAAGAGCCTCAGCACATGCAATTAACTCATCTTGATTTTTAGGAGACCTATGAAAAAGGAAATACAATTTATCCCAACTTCATCTACTGCATCACCTACAATAAGTTCAAGCCTGTGACTGGTACAGTGCCATACAGTTGCATTTGGAAAGTCATCAAGAAATAGTTTTGCAACTCCCGATTTTAGTCCTAACATTACTGATGCTCCATCAGTTACAAGTGGTATAACATTTTCTTTTAGGTACTGCATTGAAAAACCACCTCTTTGTAAGCAACTTATAAGACCTTCATATAGAATTTGCATTTGCACCAAGTTTCATATGTTTTAACTCTAAAATCAAAATAGAATTATATGGAATGAGAAGATTCACCAACTGCAGATCTCAAGCAGACAACTAAAACAGTTTTGTCATTAATAATATTAGATTCATCAATCATAATAGACATTTTGGATTGTTTTGAAAATATATTTTTCACCAATGTCTTTTGCATTTGATTCCCATTGTGGTATGCAATATCTGCAAATGGCCTACAAGAGTGAAGAACGTACCCTAAGTCAATGCTGTTTCGTTTTTGCAATTGAAAATCATAAGAAATATCAGTATATGGTCTACTTTTGTGCACAATATTATATACATCTCTAAAACCTCGACCTGTTTTTGTTTCCTCCTTTTTCAATGACTCGTACACTGCATTTTAGATTTGTTTTTTATCAGCTGTTTCATTGATTTTTTGGTACTTGTAATGGGCTTCTGTTTTTAGGCTTATAAACCTTATGTCTTAAACTCATTAACTGCTTTGTTTTCTCACCACTCACTCCTACATTAACACTGCACTATTCCTGTGATAAATGAATTCCTTGCGTTCGCTCAAGACCTAGATGACCGCATTTGCTGCATACTCTACATCCTATTTTTTATTTTTAACAATTAGCCAAGGATATTCTTTCTTTTTGTGTAAGTGCATTACTTGCATCCAACAGTCTGGAAGATTAGATATTTTAATATCCTCTGAAGTTTTATCACATCCAGGTTCCTCATCAGATGAAGCAGCTGCTTGACAAGTATCATCATCTGCACGTATTTTTGTCCCTCTTTACTGTCAGGATGTTTTATTTGTCTTCTCCATCAAGCTCAAGATGCTGTCTTTTAACATACTTTAGTATGCTCTTTTTCACAAGGGGACATCAAACTAAACATTTTAGCTTTTTAACATTAAAATGTACTAGTAACGAGACTCGAAACCATTGGGAAAAATCTGTTGGTGACAATAAAATCAGCGATTGTAGGTAAGTGTTAATTCACATTAAGCAACAAAACATGCATGTTCACTACCTATAATCACAACTCACAAGGATTTACAAAAGATTGCAAATGATGATGGAGTATTGCCAGCCAGGATGGAAATTATTTCACTGTGAGGGAGAGGTGGGCATGGTGCGAACCGTGCAATGATAATCACTATCATGATATGGGTAAAATACCATATAATACTCACAGTTTAGGGTTGAGAACTTGAGGTTGATGAATGTAGGTAGTAGAATACTTGTCTCTCCACCACCACTGTATCCACTAACCTCACTAATGTACAAGTCATACCATCACACTTGCCCACTAAAAGTTAAATACTCTGGTTGGCTGCGCTACCTGATGCTCCCTGGTTGGGAGACTGGGTGCATCATGATTGGCTAGGGCGATGCTGGGAAGATGCTTGACTCATGAGCTGGATAAAGGGCATCTAATGAATGACTCGCTTAGTATAAAAATTGAACATAACTGTGTACCAGTGTGTACCCCCATTTCAATCACTGGAAAATATTTAGGAAGAATTACTTTAGAATCATGTACAAATATCCAAACGCCATTAAAAATAACCTAACTTCAAAAAGAAAAACACCTGAAAATAAAAAACAAGGCATTTATATTATACCATGCCAATCCGTTGAGCAACATTATGTAGGTGAAACTGGAGGAAGTGTTGACAAGAGTTTCTGAACATTAAAAATGCCATTTTTATTCATATGAGAGATTCTGACCATCAAATTGATTGGAAACCAACAAGAATTTTATACAAAATGGATAACTATATAGTAAGAAGAATCATTGAAAAATACTTAATCAAAAGCCTGCCTAATTTCAACACCTCCCAAGGTCACTTTGAACTAAACAACTTCCTGACCCTCTGTGTCCTTAAGGGAATTCCAAGATCAGGGGTCATGTAGATGTTTTTTGACCAGTTTTTTTCCTGCCAGTAGACAACGTGAGACTGAAGAGACTATAAAAATGTGTCAAAAATAGTTCTCTGATATCAGACTTCTAATAGTTCATTCCATTTACTGTGGTGTTTTCACAAGTAATTAAACACATTAAAATGGAATAGTAATTTAAGCATCACAACTGGGTGAATATCAGAAAGATGATATAGATGGGATAATTAAACATTAAAATGGGACATTAGTTGAAGCATTATAACTATATTCTTTTTGTAATTGATTTATATTGACTAAAGAGTGTCACAATGCTGTGATGGAAGAGACTTTGTTTTAAATAAATATGTATATAATGTTTTTGGTTTTTATAAATTATTGGCTCCTTTCTTGAGTTGTCCACTAGTGGAGCCTCACACTTTAGCGAGTCTGTGAACATTTGATATTTTTCTTCATTTTATATTTAGTGTTGTTTTTTCATGAAACATATGTATATAGCATGCTGTGTAAGAGAAAAGAGAGTTTATTTTCAAACCCAAGTGACAAGAAAGACCTCCCTCAAGGTAACCTCAACTTATTTTACTTCAATTTTCCAGTTACAGGTTTTAAGGAATATACTGATATACATGTACCTATAAATTACCTAAAGGGCTGTCGTAAGACCATGTTAGGCTTTATTTGGAGAAGAAACTTTAAGGACATGCTGCGTACTTAAAATCTAATGAGCTTGGCCCAGTGTTAGTATTGTAGGTTGATCTTACTAACAGGTCAGATACTTTTGTATATAGTGTAAACTATACATATATCTGTTCACACATTTATTCATTTTAACTACAGTTTTAATATACCAAAGAATTTAGATCAAGTTTTCACTATCATACTAGCTAACCCTCCATTTGTAAGTCGTAATTTTCCTGGTGTACTATTAAAACTTAGTCAGTTAGTATTAGAGATGCTTTCCAATTGTTGCTGTTGTTGATCTCTTTTAAGCTTGGATTCTTAATAATTACAAGTATTTCTTGATGTTTCCAGAAGTAGAAGTGATGAAGACTACTATCCAATAAACTTAAATAGCCTTGTTCTGTAGAGAAGTGAAATTAACTTGTATTATGCCCAGTTTATGATTAAAACACAATAATGACAAATAAAAACCATATTTTCCAAACTAGTTTTCTCTGAAAAGAACTATGTAATAAGCTATGAAATTTTGTCTATTCAGTGCTAATTAAGTGGCATGTTATTACAAGTAAGATCATTCAAGGAAAAATTTGTTCAAGCTGATTATGTGATTGTTTCAGATGTGTTTTGTTACTAGCTTTGTTGCAGTAAGACATATAGCTTTGAGCTACATTAAGCTTTTCTGGGAAAGGGTTGAGTAACTGTTGTTAAAAAACGTTTCCATAAATTAGAACATACTGTAGGATTTAGATACTTTTTAAATTATTAAAAGTATATTGTAATATTTGATTGAATTTATATCTTGTGATTTAATTGTATTAACTTTTTCTTCAACCACCATGAACTCCATACTAGTTAGTTTGATTAAATTCTTCACAGAATCTCAAATCATTTGTAGACTTAAAATCTCTATGGTTGAATCAAGTCAGTGGGAAATATTTAAATACATTTTTGAAAGAAACTTCTTTTGTTTCATTAAGATATTTGCAAATATTGTAAAATATATTCCTGCTATGTTTGATGGTATTATCCAGTTAAATTTTTTTCTGGATATTAGTAACATTACTTTTTCTGCTAATATTGGATGCTATAGATACTAAACTATTGCAAGTAGTATTATAGTAATGTGGTGCAGTATTTCCCTGTCAGTATTAAACTGTACTTTAGAGGTAACATTTGTAACATCTTCCTGGTTACAGTGAGCTAATGTTGAGAAATATGTTCTTGTTAAACAATTGAATGTACTTTCCATTTACTCTGTAGTACCATTATTGTAGAATATAAGATATCGGTGTATGGCAATGATTCTAAAGCCTTAGGTGTATATATTGTTTTGTATTTTAGTATGTTGTAACACTGAATTATGAC